GCTGGCATGTGGTGCTGGGGGATTGAACCGTGGTCCCTGTGCTTTGCTAAGCTTGTTCTAAGTAGGTGCTTTAGACCACTGAGCCATCTCTCCAGCCCCCTATAGGATGTTAAACAACAACAATGACATATTTTTACACAGAACGTTAGAAATCAAAACCATATGTAACATTGTAGCAGGACAATCATGACATTTTGTGACCTGCTTACATTTTCATTTGACATAACATAACCCTTTTAATCAGTCTTCTTGATCTAATACATAAGAATTTTTTACTTAACTAGTTATCCTTCAATACATCACAAGTCTTTTTATTTTTTTTGGGGGGGCTAAGAGTTTGAAAGAAAGCTTTATCATAATAAGCAATCTGTTGTACATTTTGTAGGACCTGTACACTTGGAATCATGAATAGACTCATTACATCATAAGCTTAACAATAATGAGTCATATGTGCAAACCTTTGTTTCTTTCTTTAGATTTATACCAAAACCATTTTTTAAGAGAAAATATAATTGTAATTTTTCCTGAAAGACTTTTAACTATCGACCAATTCATTGAGGGAGTGCCCTAAGAGACTACTGAGATTATTGGGAGCTCCTCATTAATGAATGAAAGGTTGGCCACACCTCTTATTCATCAGTTGGACTCCTTTCTACTGATTTTTCTCCAGTCTAAGGCTTTTTGCCTAATTAGATTAAATTTCTTGGTAAATGGTGTATACATTGATTTTGATATCACTTAGACCATCTGGTAACAAAAAGGTGTGCTTTTAAGTCTTAACCCCAAATTGTATAATGAACAAATGATCAAAAAAGAAAGAGAGGAATAGCTATTCACAGAATGACACACAGACTGTACACACAAACAACCATCTTTACAGAATTACGAGTGCGCTCAACTGTATATATTCCTGGCCAGATTAACTCACAGTAACTGTATTATAATCTTTAGAAATTTATAAATAGTCAGATTTTGTTATTTGTCAGAGATCTCATTGGAAAATTTTGGAAGGTATAAAATCTATGTAATATGCATATGTATTTTTTGTCTTAATACTAGTACAGTTTAGCTCAGTTACCTTTATATATTGTATCTGCTTGTGTTGTTTGTGTGTAGACCTTAGACTTCCATTTTGTCAGTTCCTTCAGTAGGCCCCAGGTTGGATCTGGCCTCCTCGTTGTTAACTTCTTCTCCAGAGCTGGCTTCATGGAGTAGCCTGACGTCGCGCTCTGGTACCCAAATAGGACGTTCAGCATTCTCTGGAAAAGCACAAGTGTACCCTCTGCCCAGGTTAGCAGTGGGCGGGTCCCTTCGATTGTCAGTGTGGAGATCTCCAAAGGACCCTTCCTAGCCTTTTTGGTCTTATTGATGGAATTGTCTTTCTGCTGCTGTACTTCCATATTTTGTAGAATTTATTTATTTTTTTATTATTATTATTTTTTTGCTTCTCCAATGCCTTCACTTCAGGGCACTTTTGGCTGGCTAGAGTGTTGTGGGGATTGAACTACAGCAATCTGAGGCAGCCAGCATTGTGGAAGCAGCCACTTAAAGAACTGAGCTAGGGCCAGGCCCCCTCTTTTGTAGAATTTAAAGAGTTATTAGTGTATACTGCCAAATGAAGTCTATTATGAGGTGTGAATTTTGTAGGGAATAATCCCCCTTTTTGCTTTTGTAGTTGAATTTTTTTTTTTTAGTACATTGTCTATAGGATCTCGCTACACAGATCAGACTCATAGTGATCCTCCTATTTTCAGCTGCCCAAGTGCTGGGATTACAGGCACGGCCACCACAGTCAGTCAGTCTCCATCCCCGTGTGCCCTGGGCCAGCACTGCACGTGCCGGGGATTGCACGTCGGTCCCCGTGCCTGCCTGAGCAGACATTTCAGTCTGCTGAGATACTTGTCTGGCATGCAGTTGAATTAAAAAAAAAAACAAAACTGTGTTGAGTACAGGGTCTACAGGGTCTCAGTGCACGGATCAGACTCAGTGATTCTCCTGGGCTTCTCTAGGGCTGGGATTACTTCTGCCTGAACCACGCACAGTCTCTGGCTGGCCCTGCGTGCCCAGGGGGAGAGCTGGCACACTGGGGATCTAACCCTGGTCCCTGTGCCCGCAGTTGAATTTTGTTTTCTTTCAGTCTTTAATTAGTCTAGTTTCTTACACACTTGGTCATTTTTTTTCTTTCTAATGTGGGATAAGATGCTATTTAATTTGTTTTCCATAGCTAATATTTTTTATGTATATGCTTTTCCCCCCATAATTTTATTGAGAAATAAATTCCAATGAGAGTTTCAAATAAAATTGGTAGGACAGTTTCAATAATTAACACATTACATACTGTCTTCCTAGTGGTTATTTGTTGTACAAGATGCAGACATGATAACCTATTTACA